AACATCGATGAGAGAGAAACATCGATCAGCTGCCTCCTGCACACCCCCTACTGGGGATGTGCCCGCAACCAAGGTACATGCCCTTGCCGGAATCGAACCCGGGACCCTTCAGTCTGCAGGCTGACGCTCTATCCACTGAGCCAAACCGGTTAGGGCCAGGACCTGTGTCTTTAACATGTGCACGGAGTGATTCTTACAAGGCAGGTGTGGGGAGCACTACCTCCAGGAGTTTGTGGGTTTGCTGAGCTCGGACGTGCGATTTTCCCCCAGGGTATCCTGTTCTTCCTTTTCTCGTTGCTGTGAGATTGGCTCATCAGACCTAAGTCTGCCTTTCAGAGGGCGCTGGGGTGACTAGCCGCCTGAATCATCTTCGGACACTGTTGGCCGGGACCCGTAGGGTTTTTCCAGAATCACACAATCAGACCATTGAAGACTTGGTTTTAATCTGATCACATCTCTGTTGTTTGGGAATTCTCTTAGCTTCTGCTTAGGATCTGGAGTTCTCAGAAGGTTCTGGTTTGTTCCTGGATCGTTGCCTCGTCAGAGAGACCTCTGAACCCGCAGTGGGTGACGGGTGACGGCATGTTTGCCGAGCAGGCGCTCCGCCGGGGCATTTCTCTCACAACTTCCCCTCCCACGCGTTGATGTGAGAACGTGAGCAAATACCAAACAGGTTTGTTGGGGTGATGGAGTGCCCCCCCCGGGGGGGCTTAGGATGGGCAGGAGAGGAGAGACGCGCCCCTGTATGACTAAGAGGCGGCAGGTGCCGTGTGCAGGGCGGGGCCCGGAGCCGGAGCGCCCTGGGTGGACCACCCTGGGTGAAGTCCAGGCTCCAACCTCCCTCGGAGCCGTGCTCCTGTCTGTCAAGGGAGGAGAACCAAGGGACTCCCCGGCGAAGACCCAGTGAGGGCCACACGCGCTGAGGGGAGAGTGCCCCGACGGTGCTCTGTGCGCAGTGGCTCTGGCACTGCCCTCTTTCTGTTTCGGTGGTGGGACCCCGAGGCTGGGAGGGGGGAACAGCAGAAGGTGGTAAGCGTGGTTCCACCACCGCCCTCAGCGCCCCATCCGCCGCCCTCCTCTGCTCCGCCTTCCCGCAGCCTGGAACCCTCTGTCCCACACCTCCTCCCTCTGTCCCACACCTCCTCCCTCTGTCCCACACCTCCTCCCTCTGTCCCACACCTCCTCCCTCTGTCCCACACCTCCTCCCTCTGCGGCACTTTCCTTGCTCCTCCTCCCAAGACTTCATTCCGCCACCCCCCCACTCCCCCCACCACGTGCTCTGTAGGTACCAGGGCTACCAGGTAGCGTTTCCTATGCAGAGCCCTCCCTCCGCCCTGGGCCTTCAGGTGAGCCATGGCCTCTGAAAGGGCGCAGAGGGCGGGGCTTGAGCAGGGGCCAGGCAGGGAGGGCTGGGATCAGAGAGGTGAGGGTTAGGATAGTGGTTTTCAAACCGCTTTCTGGGGAAGTGCCTGGGGGGCCCCCTTGAGACTTCGGGGGACTAGGGCTCTCCCTCTCCCTCTCTGCCCAGAGAGTGGCCTCTGGTTTGTTCTCTGCGCTGCAGATTTGGGGATAATGTTTGAAAAAAACAAAAATATTCTCCTTTGAAAAAAAAGTTGCAAAGGTTTGTGAAAACAACAGGAGTGGGTTCACCACGTGGGAAAAGATGGAGGAGGCACGTCCTGCAACCTGTCCCGATGCTCCCGCTGGGAGACGGTGGAGGGGGCGGGCGAGGTGACTAGCTTTCGGGAAGGCAGGGGAGGGGCCGTTAAGAAAGAATTAGTCCAGATGGTTGTAAGGAAGAGACCTGGAGGTGGGAAGACCCATGTGGAGTTTGCAGAAGGACAGGGATGGAGGCACTAGATAAAGCCGTCAGAGGTTAGGGAGGCCTGTGCTCCCAGGCGGCCTGGAGGGTTGGAAGTGAGGGCGCTGCTGGAAGCAGAGGTGGAGGGCGGTTGGGAGGGGTTTCTAGTTTGGGCAGAAAAAATAGGTGATGAGTGCCCCTCCCCCACCCGGCATGGCCACTGGGCGCATCCTTCCTGGGTCTTCTCACTTGCGGGCCTGCCTCTGGGAAGAGGGGGTCGGGTGGAGTTACTCAGGGGACCCAGGAGCGTTCTGTGGACGCCCGTCTCCTTCGGAAGCCTGTCCTGAGGGCTGCGCCCCCCACGCACGCGTGGGCACGTGTGTAGTCGGGGGCCTTGGCTCCGGTTCCGTGGAGCCTGCTTCAGAAGGTCACACCCTTTGCCTCCCTGGGGGCCTGGCAGGGTTGCCAGGCGACCTTCACACAACGAGGCGTGAGTGTGTGAATCTGTGCTCCTGGCGCCTGCCTGCTTCCAGCAGCACCACAGGTCCTCTTGTGTAATTCCCATTCCATCCTTCTGCGACCCGAGGGCCATGTCGGGGTTAGCCCACTTTCCCAGTGAGAAGCAGGGTCATCTGCCCAAGGTCAAGCAGCTGGTACAAGGTCACCCTGGGATTGAACGCAGGACCATTGGGCTCCGAAGCCCCGACCTTTCTTCTACCCCCCACGCCTCTTAACTCCTCAGCATCGGGGCGGGAGGGGCCTCCTCCCCCAACTCCAGAGTCCTACAAGGACTGGGTGCTGGCAGGGTCTCCCTCTGGGGCTGTCATGCCAACTTTTCAAAATCGCGGCAAGTGAATTCGATGGTGCTTGGGGCCAGGTGAGACGGGCGTGGTGGTTTGAGGTGTCATTACCTCCCGTGTGCGGTCAGGGACTCGGCTGTCTGGAGCTGGAGTCCTGGGAAAAGGAAAGCAGGTCAGGTCACCAGGTACTTCCTCACTGAGAGGCAGGGCTAGGACGGTCTCTCCGGGACCACACGTGTTCTTGACCTGAGGGGTGGCAGTCAGGGACTCGGCCGTCTGGAGCTGGAGTCCTTCTGGGAAAAGGAAAGCAGGTCAGGTCACCAGGTACTTCCTCACTGAGAGGCAGGGCTAGGACGGTCTCTCCGGGACCACACGTGTTCTTGACCTGAGGGGTGGGTTGAGGCCAGACTTGTACCACACTCTGGGATTGAACTGTGCAGGTTGCTATGGTAACGACTCCCTCTGCTCTCCTAGGTGGATGCAGGGAAATTTACAAGCGACCCCAGGCCTTTAGAGCACTCCTGGCCCTGTGACTTCGGGCTTGGAAGTGGCTGGCAACGGAGTGTTGAGTGTAACGCCGAGGAGGGGACCGGCGCTGGGGACAGCAGGCGCCGGCCCAGTCACCGTTCGTTATGATTCAGTGAGAGCGGTCATTTTGCTTGACTCAGTATTAAGCTCAGGGATGTCAGGAGTCGCCCCTAATGATCAGCTTACCCCCACGAGGCAGAAAGATGAGTATCCGATCAGTGCTCAGGAGCTGCAAAGGCCTGCTCACCTGAGGCTCACAGCCCCAGCGTGGCGCTCCAGCAGCGCGCCCATTGTCTAGAGGAGGAAGCTGAGACGAGGGGCCTGGCTCAAGCTCACACCACTCCATAGCTGGGAGCCCGAGTGCGAAGCCAGGGCGCCTGTTTCCAAATCCTGTGCTTTCCTCGCGTTCTGGGGGGAGAGTGGACCTGACTGCTCTGGGGCGAGGGGTGCCTCTCGCCGTCTCGAGGGCTGCAAGTCTTACTCCGACCTGAGCAGCTCTCGCATGGGAAGTGCTGCGTTTTGCTTTCTGTTTTTAATCTCCTGCCTCTCCCCCCGAGTTTATTCTTTAAAGCGGCCGTTCTCAACCTGTGGGTCGCGACCGTTTGGGGGATCGAACGACCCTTTCACAGGGGTCGCCTAAATACATCCTGCATATCAGATATTTACATGACGATTCATAACAGTAGCAAAATTACAGTTATGAAGTAGCAACGAAAATAATTTTATGGTTGGGGGTCACCACAACATGAGGAGCTGTATAAAGGGTCGCGGCGTCAGGAAGGTTGAGAACCACTGCTTTAAAGGATCTGATATCAGTCGAAGCTGTTTGTTTTTTGAGCTGAGCAGCCCTGGCAATGCCCCTCATTGAGCAACATCCACGATACGTGGCTTTTTCTTCCTTCCCTGTAAGGACAGGTCTGCGAGGCTGCCCCGAGTCTGGGCTCTTGCCAGCATCGCCTCTCCACCTGGACATTCTGCAGCCCCTCCTGCCCCTGGGGCGAGAAAGGATACTTCACCTCTGGCCTGAGTGCCCCAGGTGCAGGCAGTCTCCTTGGCCTAATACCCTCTGCTCAGTCACGTCCCCGTGTAGCAGGCATGTGAGGCTGAGTCAGGCCAGACACAAGGAAATGGGAAGAAGCTGTGACCCAGGGACCAGCGCAAGGGCCGGGGGGCAGCACCGGTGCAGCCAGGACCTGCAGTGTCACCCGGCCCCCTGCCCTCCCCCGTCTGCGGAATCTATCCTCCTGGCCCTGTCTCCCCTGGAGGGTGTGTGGAGTTCAGGTGAACACCTCAGCCCTCCAGTGTTTCTCACAACTGTGAACGGGCTGCTGACCTTTAAAGATGGGGAGGTAGCACGTGGGTTCAGGCTCCTGGCTTCCCCTGGGAACCTGGCAGGTCTGGCAAAGCCGCCTCCCTCTACCCGCAGGTGGTGCCCACAC